GCCCGCTCCAGCACCTCCTGCACCACCTTGCCCAGGCTGCTGGACCGGCTGCCCTGCACAGCAGACACCTGACCAGGGCCCCACGGCTTGTCCTCAGCCCGCGGCGATGTGTACAGGCACATCTTGGAGACAGCCTTTTTCAGGCGGTCCACAGGTGACAAGGTCTCAGGCTTGGCGGAGACGATGCGGACATCGGGGATGTCAGGGCAGGTCCAGACAAGGCGGGAGGGTGAGATCCGCTGCACAGGGGTCTTCGAGACGTAGGAGTACAGGCAGAAGAAAGCATCAGCCGTCGCAGCCAGGGCCTGAACCTGCTGGAAACGACCTGGTGGACCAGGAGGAGGCGGAAGGGTCAGACGGGCAGCGGGATGGTGCCAGGTGGGTGGATGGGGCTAGCTACAATCACCAGTGCCACCTGCCTGCAGTTACCCTCAGGCTGGGAGCCAAGTCAGGCTCTTGTGGGGCTGCAGCAGGGATGGGTGGGCTCAGCATGCCCCCCCCCAGGGCAGGTCTTGCTCTCCCTGGCTCACACATAGGGAAACTGAGACAAAGGAGTGTCTTTCCTGCCATCTCAAAGGAGCAGAAGCAGGGGCAGAACCCAGTCACACTGATGGATAATCACTGTCTCACGCTGCCTTACATGCCCTACGTGAGCTCTCTTCCAGGATATGCTAGGGAGGTGGCCAAGCACAGAAGTCCAACCTTATATCGACCGTCTGCACAGTTTAGGGCAGCCCCTGCCAGCCCTCACTGGCTGGACTAAGGGGCCCTCATGTCACTCACTGGCCAGCATCAGGCAGGGGTCCTCCATCTCCATGCGCCGCACCTGGGACTTCAGGAAGAGCTGGAAGTCGATGCCCTTGGCCTGCGAGGGTGCCGAGAAGAAACGTGCCGGGATGCGGGCCATGGCCTCTGGCTCGCTCTGTACAAAGCCCAGGTTGTAGAGGATCTCTTCAGCATCAGCCTGCCACCACTCCAAGATCTCAGAGATGCTGTGAAGATGGCAGCACTGGCTCAGCACCAGGGCGTGGTCCCCCCATGGCAGGGATGTTGTCCCCCACCCCACTGCTCCCTGTCCCAGGCCCTGCCCAGAGACCCATGGTCCCACCTGGAGCAGGTCTTGTTGGTGACACTGGAGAGGACACTGGATGCCATGCTGTGCCCGAGATTGAGATGCTTGTCCCGCAGAGCTCTGTGCCAAAGAGAAACCAGGCAGTGTTACAGCCTGTGGCAGACCCCTGCCACGCATGGGGACAACCCGCCACTGGGAGCAATGGGAATGGGACATGGGGGTGAGCATCAGTGGAGGTTGAGCAATTGGGCCTGCAGAGGCCCTGCAAGGTGCAAGGGGCAAGGCCTGGCGGCAGAGCTGAGCCACACTGGGCTACACTGGGAGCATGGACTACCAAAGGGCAGGGGCTGAGGGTACTAGGGTTGGGATGCTGAGAGTGGGATGCCTCTGTGTGGGGGGGACAGGGAGAGCCAACTGCCCCCAGTCCTGCAGCCAGCACCCCCGGGGACCCAAAATCTCACCTGCCCACGGCTTTGTCATTTCCCGGTAGCAGAAGCGCTAGAAAAAGGAAGCAGACAGATGGCAGGGAGTGAGACAGAGCTTTTCCACAGCCTAGGCAGGGCCCTGGGCAGCACTTGGGACAGGTCCCACACCCACCACCCTCTCTGGAGCAAGACATCATTCCCTGTGGTCACAGCCTGGAGCCAACTGCCTGGGATGGATGGAGAGCTTGGTGGCAGCCGAGCCCCGGCCCAGGCAGCTGGGCCGCAGACTCATCAAAACTGCTCTGGAGGAAAAGCTATCCATGTCCACCAGTCTGCTCCGTCTGTCTCCTGCTCCTCCAGGGCTGCTCTGCCCCTGAGGTGACAGTGACACTTGGAGGAGATGCCATCCATGAACCCTGAGCCACTGGCATGCCCAGAGGTCGCTGGTACCTTCAGCTCCCAGAGTCAGGTCATCCTCAAAGCTGGTCCCATTGCTCCCACACCCTGCAAGACAGCAAAGTTTTGAGAGGCGCAGATAAACCTGGAGCATTTCTGGAGCCAGGGACAGCATCGGCCACCACCCAGCAGGCTTTGGTCATCCCTGGAGAGCCAAAGAGGACCTGGTCTCCCTTCCCATCACCCTGCATGCCTTGTGCACAGCCCACAAACAGAGTGGGCTTTGGGGAGGTGCAGGGACCATAAGCAGCCCCATCTGCATTCGGCGGCATCAGCGCCCAGGCACCCCAGCTCCTCATAGGGCAGAGCTGATGTGGGGCAAAGCCTACATACCATATGGGCCTGGCAAGCCCGGCTCCTCCAGCAGGATCTCCACGGATGACCTGGGCCCAGAGCAAAACCCCAGTTAGTTCCCACTCAGAGGTCCCTCTCCAGCACTGCCTTTCCCCCAGCCCTGCTGCAGCCTGTCCCGGTCCTTGGAGGTGGGGAGGGAGGCCTGAGTGTGGTGGGACCTGACTGGGTGTGCTAGTCGATGGCGGCTGTGTGAGGGGACGGGGACAAGGTTAGGAGTGGATGACAACAGGCTTGAGGAGATGGTGGCTGGAGGCTTGCAGGTGGGTGCACGTGGGAACAGGGGCTGAGAGCTGTGATGGGATGGCATGCTCTGGGGGATGCTCTTTCCCCAGGCTCCCAGGGATCCCACACCCTCATGAGACCCAGGAGCTTCCCACATGTGGCCCACAGCACCGCAGTGGCTGTGTGGTACCACAGGGAGGATGCTGCCACACCCCACCAGCTCCGCTTTCTCAGATCAGCGGGGCTGAGCGTTTGCAGGAAAGCCAGCCCCAGCCCACGTGGGGATTTCCTGGAAGCGTCGGTGTGACGCCAGCTGTGGGAATGGCTCCCTTGCGCTGGCAAGACACCTGGCCAATGTGCTGCCGCCTTGGAGCGTGGCAGAGCCGGGGCCATGAACCATCTGCATATCGTGTGCGGGGGCAAGCTGGGAGCACAGGGGATGCCACGGTCCTGCTGGTGCTCACTCACACACATGCGCACCAGCCTCGGCGGTTGCAGCTCTTGCGCAACTTCCAGGAAGGGCCGGGCATGAGCCCTCCTGGGTCAGGAGGCCACAGCAGACAGCAAGCGTCATCTCGTGGCCTTCACTGCCTCCGTGATATTACGAAAGGGTGCAGAAAGCACCGTGGGAATTGCATTTGGAGGCATCAGGCCTGACAACATCTGTACATTTGGGGAAACCAGAAGGAGTTGCCAAGAAGAGGAGATGTTGCATCACTGAGTCCAGAAAGTTGGGTGTAAGTGCAGTGTAAGGACAGCCAGAACTCACTGAGTTTCCCAGGGATAAATAATTGTACTGATGAGCAGGATGGACAACAGAGTCATGCAGGTAGGGGAGACACCCTCAAAGTCCCCACAGAACCCCTGCAGTGCCCTCCCAGAGCCACCGTGCCTGCATCCCATAGCCCTGGCCAGCTCACCCACAGTCCTGCAGCCACGTCTCTATCTTGCTGGAGGAGATTCCTACAGGGAACAAGAAAGGCCCATGGGATAAACCAGGACATTCCAAGCATGCAGGCACCCAATTCAGCTGTAGTCATGCTCTCAGCATCCTCCACATCCTCCCACAAGCAGCAGGCTCCTCTGCATGCCAGCAGTTTGAGCATCCAGCCCATTGCACACCAAGCTTGGCCAGGAGGCAGGATAGTCAGACTCTTCAGAGAGAGAGAGAAGGCTCCGGGGCTTTATTTCTTGCATTTCTTTAAAATCTTGGAAAAACACAAAACTTGTCCCAGCACAAAGGCATCACACGCCTCCTGCCCCCTGAATACATTGCCTCCCCATCGGGACCAGCAGCATGCACATCCCCTTGCCATCAGGACTGAATCCAAGTCCCTGCAGAGCCACTCGGAGAATTTGCCCACAGAGAACCAGGCTGCAGGTGTAGGGATTGAGTTTTCCCAAAGAAATGGAGCTATTTCTGAAAAATGAAACTTTTCCAGGGAAGTTTTCAGGTATTCTAGGAGAAAACTATGAGAGAGGGAGAGCTCCTGCTCTTACAAAGCCTCATCCATCACCCTTAGAAAACATTCCATCACCCTTAGAAATATGTGCAGGTATTTAGGTTTATGTGCATGCACACATGAGCACACACAGCCCATGTGTCTACACACAAACACACACACACACACACACACACACGCGTGCACCTGCTCCAATTTCATTTTCACACACATGTGTTAATGCACTGAATGTGCATGCACAACATTTCCAAATGTGCCAGCCTACATGCAAGCACAGGCATGTCCATTTGCATGCACACGCCTGCATATACATCCATTTACCTGTGCACACTTGTGCAGATGTGCACACTTAGGCATATGCATACATACATATGTTCATTTGCGCATGCACAGCACTCTGCACACTGTTCGCACACTTCCACACATGCACATGGACAGGCACACTTACACGCACACACACCCCAGGCTCTCCCTGCAGCCTCCAACCTTCGAGAAAGACGTCATCCAGGTGAGGCGGTTGCAGCTCAGGGACTTCCTGCATGGCTGCAGCGGCCTCCTCCTCCACCACGGTGGTTCTCCAGCACCGGCTCTGCCTGGCCCATGCGCGCCGCTTCTCCCACGAGGATGGGCTGAGCACCGATGTGCCCTCCATGGCCTGCAGCACGAGGTGGGCCAAGGCTCTCCTGGGCACAGAGGAGACCCTGTAGGGATAGGAAAGCTGTGAACCTGTGTCCAGCCATGGGGCATGAGGAGAGGGGGGTCTTATGGCCTCCTCCAGCTCCATTCCATGGGAGGATGCCATGGAGCGCTTCATGACCATGAGAGCAGTTGCAGGGTGAGGACTGTGCATGCCTCCTCTCCCCAGGCTCTGTCACTAGTTGTCTGCTCTGTCTGTTAGTTGGAAATGGAGACCCTGGGATGTCCAGAAAACAAGGAAATCTTTGCAGTCCAGCTCCAATTTGGTCTGTGGTTCCTTGGGGCAACCCAGAGGTGCAGCATCTCTGCCAAGCCAGACCCTCCTACTGCCATATGTGGCACCCTACTGCCCACCCACCAGGGCAACACAGGGCCCCCTCCAAGCATGGACCTGTGGCCTTGTCATGCTGTGGCCTCCTCATATGGTCTGTGCAAGTCCTAAATTTCCAAGAGGTCAGGGCTGTGACCTAGGGGCCAAGAAAGGCATGCGCAACCAAAGGTAACACTGTGGCTCCAAAGGTTTGGGGCACAGCAGAGTCAGGGAGAGCACTCAGGGCATGGGATGCCCAGTCCCTGGCCCGCCCTCCACCCCTTTTTGGAGCCCCTTTGGGGCTTTGCTGGGAACAGATCCTGCTCCAGGGATGCTCTGCCCCAGGTCATGCATTGCCCTGGGTGCTGATGGGCACCCACCACACCCAGCTGCTGGAGGGAGGCAGAGCCAGGAGTTGCGGGCGCTGGGCAGACTGGATGAGCACGAGCAAACGGAAGGGCTGCTGGAGCCAAGATAACACATACAGAGCTGCTCTGTGGCTGGCAGACAGGGGCCGGCACAGGGGGGACGGGCACAATCCGGGGGAGGGGAGTGTGGTGCAGAGGATGAAGGCCTCCAGATGCTGGGACCATCCGTGGTGGGGAGCAGACGCATCTCCACTGGATCCCCGTTTTCACCCAGGCAAAAGGAGGTAGGGGCAGGAATATGCAGGGTGGACATACCTCCCCGCTCATCTCTATTCTCCGTTCTACAGCCCCTGAGCTGGCGGCGCAGAGCAGAGCGGGGGCCTGTGACCCCAGGCAGCACAGCTTTAGTGTGTCCCTGGTCCCATGTACTTGTTGGGGAAGGGGCATCAGGAAAAAGCTGGTGAGGACAACCTAGAACCAAGGGGGCCCATGCCAGGGTGTAAGGTGCCAGACAGATACGGCTCCATCCCTGTAGATGCTGGGATCCGTCCCTGCTGCCCTGCAAGCATCTAAGTGTGGAGAGCCCCATGCCAGGGTAGCAGCTCACTGCAGTGAGCTCTGGAAGGTGAGGAAGGTATCCCACACCTGGGAAAAGTGGGATGAGCCTAGATGCAGCCAGGAGCATCCAGCACTAGTGACCCAAAGGATCCCATGCTCTTTGGCCACTGCCTGAGCCTGCAGACAGATTCAGTCAAGTCTATCTGAGTCTGCAGACAGCCCCAAACAATAGCTACACCACCCGTGCCCTGCAGCCAAGTTCATTAACTTGCATGTGGGTCTGTGGGGATGATGCAGCCTCTGCCTGCCCAGTGCCTCCACAGCACCAGCTGCCCTCAGATAGTCCCATCCTGCCCCGATTCCCCAGGCAGATGCTCCAGCCCATGCCAGGTCCTGAGTCAGCTGGCATTGGGGTGCCATCGAGTCGGACTCTGGGCACCACCACAGGCAACGTGCGGTGCACCAAAGCTGTTTCCCAGCTCCCAGGACCTGGCAGCCTCTCTCCCCTGCCCCACTCACAGAGCAAGGAGGCAAACGGCTCACATCCGGCAATCGAGAGCTGCCAGAGCAGCCAAGCTGCGCAGCTGCTGTGCGCCAGGGCCTGTCCCCAGGGAGCCCTGCTGCAGGTGGGGGATCTCCACCAGGGCCCTCATCATCTGTGAGCCCACAGGCTCATCCCTTTTTCCCCAGCAAGTCACTCCAGGCCTTTGTGGCAGAGTTTGTCCCCAAAAGCAGCCTCTGGTCCCTGCAACCAGGTGGCTGCTGCTGGACTGGCAGCTGGGTGGCCTTGTGGAGTGCATGGGATGGTGCTCAGCATGGGGATCAGCCAAGCAGGATGCTGGGGAGATCCTAGGCAGAGAGCACCTATCTGGGCTGCTGGGCGCCCAGAGCAGGGGGTGCCCAGTACATATATTGCTCCATGGAGCCGATGACGGACGCATAGTCCCTCACCTCCTGCCATAGCTCTCCCTTCCCCAGTGTAGGTCCTGGCCAGCAACAGAGCTGCCCAGTCTGGGGAACCAAGTGGTCACAGGCGCTCCCCAGCCCAAGAAAAACCATGCAAAGTCCCACAACCTCCTGTTCTCCAACCCCAGCCATGAGGGAAGGGTTTCCCCAGCCCTACAGGTTCATCCACTCCTGCCATGCATCCCCATGGCTGGATCTGGGCTGAGCATTTTCCTGTGCAGCCCCACAGGCAGTGAAGCAGGAGGAACATCCCAGTCCAGATCTGGGTCTCTGCTCCAGGACTGCTGATCAGGAAAGGGAAGTGCTTTGAAGAAACGGCCAAGATACTGCCCCTCTTGCCAAAGGCCAGTGCAGCTCAGCCTTTGTGCTGCAAGTCTGGGCTCCGGTGACAGGGTGGACAGCGGTCGCCCATGCCCACAGCGCCCCTTCGCTAGAGCCCTCACTGCTGCCCAGGCTTGGGCTGAGTCACTGTCCTCGCAGTGTCTGAGACCCCCCCCCGCCACGCCTCTGTCCCCACGAGCACAGTCCTGAGCCCCCATCCCTGCCCTGACTGCTTCTCCTTAAGACACCTTATGAGAAAATACACCCGGAAAAAAATGATCCACCAACACCCAGAGCTGAGACTTATTGGAGATGGGGGTTCACACCCAGAGGGAGGACATCCAGCTTGTGTGAGGGTTGTGCCTTGGACTCATGATTCCGTGTGCCCAGGTACCCAGTGGTGGGCTTTCACAAGGGCTCCCTCACTCTCCACCCCACAGGGACCCAGAGGTGTCTGGTTCCAAGCTGGCTCAGGGACCAACAATATGATCTGTGCCACCATCCCCTGGGTGCCCCTTTCCACACAGCCGCTGAGACCCGGCCAGGCACCCACCCTGGCCTGGAGCTGGCCTGGCCCCAGAAGCTAAGGGCCTTCCCCCACCACAGCGTTCCTGCGACGCAGGGCCACATCTGTGCTGAAAGTCCCCAGCGGAGGGAGGATGCGAATAAAGCACGTCCTTCTCACCATTTCCCCATTTCGCCTCCCACCGGACCAGCCCCAGGGAGGATGCGGGAGAGGGTGAAGCCCCAGGTGGTACCTTGCAGACCTTGGGGGAGAGCTGAGCAGAGCCTTCCCCAAGCACTGCGCTCGGAGGCAGAGCCAGCCCCAGCTCCCCCAGCCCCTCTGCAGTGCTGGGGGCCAGGATGTCACCTCGAGGGATGGAGCCAGGCATGGGGCTGTGCAGGAGCACGTGGATATGTGGAGATCAGACGTGCCCACTATGGCCTGGTGGGCCTGGACTTCCCCAGGTAGGGACAGTCCCCAGAATGGGTGCTCGTTGGGGCCACATCCAGCCCAGGGAGGCAGCACGTGGCTGGGGCTATCGCCTGTCCCGGTCCCTCAGAACCCCCAGACCCAGGAAGGAAAGGGAGACGCTTGCAACCACTCCATGTGAAAGCTAACTGCCCCCCCTGCCACATCCCCAGGGCACGTGGGAAGCAGCTGCTTTGCAGAGCTGGGCAAGGGGCCGTGCTGTGCGGGATCATAGATCGGGGCACCAAGTCATGGCTTGTTTGTTCTAGCACATCCTGGAGCATCCCAGTCCTACCCCTGCCCTTTGCTACTGCCAGCCCAGGCCCCATTAGCCCCTCTTGTCCCCGCTCTGCTCCCTGCCCCTCTCTCAGCAAGGGAGGTTTCTCTTTGCTCCGAGTGCAGGAGCCATTTCTCCCC